TTTCACTAAGGTTGTTTTTACTGATTTTGGCATTCTCTGAATACTTCACTTTTGCTTTTATGTGACTTGATCCAATCACAACATAATAGAATATTTCTATTGAAAGTTCAAAACTGGAATCACCTTTGTCTGAGTGTGGTGAAAATTAAATCTGCTGTAGTCTTGTAGTATCTCTATCCTATATACTCACTCAATCAGCGAACACGTTATTCCAAATACAACAATTCTTTATGAAATATTATGTATGATACTTGAGTGGTTCTCAAAAAATAAATACTGCTAAAAGATTGGTGTAGCAGCTGAAAAATTGCAAAAAAAAATAAACCTTATAGTCCTTAAAAAGTTACTGAGGGAAACCCCAGGTAGACCTTGAAAAGTTGTTAAGGTTATTCCTAGGGAGCTCGAAATAAGTTACCAAGCGTACCCCTACGTAGTCCTTGAAAAGTTACAAAGAGCACCCCCTGGTAGCCCTTGAAAAATTACAAAGAGTACTCCCTGGTAATCCTTGAAAAGTGACCAAAGGTGCCCCAGATAGCCCTTGAAAAGTTACAAACAGTACTCCTGGTAGTCCTAGAAAAGTGACCAAGAGTACCCCCAGATAGCCCTTGGAAAGTTACCAATGGTACATCTAGGTAGCCCTTGAAAAGTTATCAAGAGTGCCCCTAGGAAGCCCTTGGAAAGTTACTAAGAGTACCCCTAGGTAGCCCTTGAAAAGTTACCAAGAGTATCCCTAGGAAGCCCTTGAAAAGTTACCAAGGATACCCCTATGAAGTCCTTGAAAAGTTACCAAGGGTACCCCTAGAAAGCCCTTGGAAAGTTAGCAAGGGTACCCTAGGAAGCCCTTGAAAAGTTACCAAGGGTACCCCCAGATAGCCCTTGAAAAGTTACCAAGGGTATCCCTAGGAAGTCCTTGAAAAGTTACCAAGGGTATCCTCAGAATGCCCTTGAAAAATTACCAAGGGTACTCGCAGAAAGTCCTTGGAAAGTTACCAAGGGTACCGCTAGGAAGCCCATGAAAAGTTACCAAGGGTACCCCCAGATAGCCCTTGAAAAGTTACCAAGGATACTCCTATGAAGCCCTTGAAAAGTTACCAAGGGTACCCCCAGAAAGCCCTTGAACAGCTACCAAGGGTACCCCTAGGAAGCCATTGAAAAGCTACCAAGGGCACTCCCAGAAAGCTCTTGATAAGTTACCAAGGGTACCCCTAGATAGCCCTTGAAAAGTTACGAAGGATGCCCCTGTGAAGCCCTTGAAGAGTAACCAAGCCTACCTTTAGGTAGCCCTGAAAAAGTTAAAGGAGTATGTCAAGGTAGCAGTCTAGAATTGTTACTGCGTATATGCATTAGCATTAAAAATAATGCTAAATTAATGCTAACACCTAAGCATTAATTAACTCTAATGCCATTAATACTAAAGCATTAGTATTAACTGTTAATGCTAATGCAAAAGTATTAGCATTATTTTTAACTTAATGCTAATACGACACCCCTAAACCAAACATTAATCAATGGATTTTTTTAACGTATAACGGCAAAAACAAGAAAAAGAAATATACAACTTATTGTGTTTTTTGTTTCTACTCACAACCACAAAAGAAATAACAAAATGTTCATCATCATTGATTGGCTTGTTTCAATACATAATGACGAAAACCAAAAATTTAAGAATCAAACAATTGGTTGTTCCCTCGACTGGAGAGAGGATCATACGAAATAAAATGCGTTTGTTTGCTTGCTTGCTTCATTGGGGTCAAAAAAACATTCATCAGAGGTTCGCTTAATTTAAGACTGTTCGCCGTTTTGATGGAACTGTGCTATAGGTTATCGAGGCCCTGAATCCAAATCCGTCGCCCATTTCTTTGGCCGAGATTTCATTGGTCGGCAGCCGACCAATCAGAAAAAGGAACCGCGTTTTCTAACTTAGGCATGTTCAGTACAGTTGTGAGACAAAGAAAGCATGGAACTGTCCTGCATTTCTTAGAAAAGATTTGGTAGAACTGAATCGGAAACAATTTTCGAATCCATAATGAAAATACATGCAAGAATTTCTGTATACAGAGTTGATGATGTCTTATGTAATTACGAAGATATTTGCTACTGTAACAATCAGAACTTTGGTAGATTATGTCTCTGGAGCAAATCTCCTTTATAAACCGTCACACATACTGTTGTTATTGAGTTAATTGGTCGTTCTGTGAATTTCACAATTCCGTCTTAAAGAGAAGCAACAGCACATTGAATTAGTATGATAGTGAAAATGGATGGATTTTATAGTAGACTGGGTTTATTTTATC